TTATCCGGTTGTCTATTGATGCGCACTTAGGTTGCTTCTGTATCTTGGCCATTGTGAATAGCACTGCAGTGAGCATAGGGGTGCGTGGATCTTTTTGAATTAGCGTTTTGGTTTTTTTCCGGTAAACACCTAGAAGTGCAATTGCTGGGTCATAAGGCAGTTCTGTTTTTAAGTTTTTGAGGAACCTCTGAACTGTTTTCCAGGTTCTTGCCTGTCTGAGACTCTATTTCCTCTTCTGTCAAATGGTTTCAATAACAGGACCGACCTCATGTGATTCATGTGAGGATTAAATGAGATGCTGTCTTTAATTGCTCCCTGACCCCGGGAGTACAAGAAATGCCACATTTCCTTAATTTCCAAATCAGATGTGTCGTAAGATTTATGAGAAGCCCAGGGTCAATGTTTTGCAAAGTTCTGTCCCACCCAGTGAGTCCTCAGACCATCGAGGTCACTTCCGTTGCAGATTTTGTCTGTGTGTTCTCGTCAGTGTCCTTTGGAGGAGAGGCCTCTGCTAGCAGCTCCACTCGACTGAGCCTGGGCTTGGGCCTCTGGAAGGGAGGCTGGAGGCTCCTCATTGCTCAGAGCCCCTCGTCACCGCACTGCCCCCCACAAGCCGCACTGGGATCCAGCTGCCACAGAGCCGGCGCCTGCCCCACCGTGCGGCCCACCTGACTGCCCTCACACTCACCCGTGTCATCCCATTTCGTCCCTCCTCCTTTAAAGCCCAGACACCTCATTCGAAAATAGTAAAAGCAGCAAGAATAACAGTAAGCCAGTTTCTTCCCCACGATGAGTTTTCTCACGGCTTTGGTTTTGGAGTGATCCTTTTATTCTGCCCTGGGGAATTCATGGGTGCAAAAGAAATGTCAATAGTTGGCTACTTTTCCTCCTCTTGCCCTGCCACCCCCTTACCACACTTCCCTCTGCCAACTTGGGGTGCACCTGCATGAAGCCATTGCTGGCGGCTGAAGGGGACCGTGGGGCCTCGAAAGCAGAAGCGATTTAACAAGCAGTTTCCTTCCTGGAGGCCAGCCCCACCTAGGGGGCCAACTGGAGCCCAAGCCCTGAGTTGGGGACACAGGACACCCCTGTTGCCCACCTTTCTCCAGGTTTTGCCTTGGACCCTTTCCCACTCCAGGGGAGACCCGCCACCCTGGTCCGTTGGTGCCTTTCCCTGGAGCCTTGAGTGGGCAGAGTTTAGGCCGAGTACCCTGGCCAGATGTCTGGGGCTCTTCCCACCTCTGGCTGGAGCCCTCCTGCCTGGAGCCACCCTGCCCACTGCGGCTGAGCTCCCAGCCTCTGCCTCCGCCCTCCTGGCAGGCTGCACCCCCAGCAGCCTTGTTCATCTCTGCCCTTTGATGCGTGGAACGGGCTGGTCCGTGACGGTAGGGACCGTGTCCTCTTCGCCTACTCGTTTCCGGCACGCGAAAGGTAAATCACGAGCAGTGGGCAAATAAAGCCCAGGGCTGCTCAAAACAGGAAATGGCTGCGAGTCAGTGTAGGTGAGAGAAGACACATGCTCCCGTTTGGGCGTGTGGTTCATTCACTGGCCCCATTAATTCCTCGCCCTGAGCCTGAGGTTCCTCATCTGAGAAACGGGGCTAGTACCATCTTGATGAGGGCCAAAGCTACAGCGCCTTCTTCACTGTCAAGTCTGGAAGGCTGGGGGCGGGAAGAGGGCTAGGAGGGTTGTCATTTATTCTTGCGGACATTCATTTACACAGTCACGAGGGGAGGATGATGCGTGCAGGGGTCAGAGGGGCACACTGTAATCTGTTCCGCAAAGACTGTTTGGCACCGACAGTGGGCCCAGGAGAGAGTGACGGAGAGCAAAGAAAGCCAGGTCCCCGCCACCGCGGCCTGCTCTCAGCAGGGAGACAGAGGGGAGCAAGGGGAGCACTAAGCAGAGGCCCGGTAGTGCTAAGGGCAGGCCGGCCCGGGAATCTCGGAGTGACTTCGCCCGTAGCGGTTAAACACGGCCGTGAACCCGTGTTAACCGTTAGTGACTCTGGCCGCTGACCAGTGTGTGGGAGACACCCGCTGCCCAGCCGACCGGGGCTTCCCAGGTGGAGGAGCAGAGGACGAGCCAGCTTCAGCTACCAACGTCCGAGAAGGCCCTTCAGCGCGGCCGTGCGTAGGCTAAGACTGAAGCATAAGACTAGGCGCTATAGGGTTGGCCCTCACTAAGATGGTACTCGCCCCATTTCACAGATGAGAAACCAGGAAAATAGGGAGAGGATGCTTCTGAACGAGGGAACCGCGAATGCAAAGGCCCCGGGAGCCGTGACAGGGAGAGAAGTAAACTTGGGGAGACGGTGACGGTGACGGGCTTCAAACCTGGCCAGGGAGACCTGGTGACGGGCTGGCCATCCCGGCTTCTGGGGCCTAGCTGGGCCCTGGGTAGCGGGGAGGTGGCGGCTCTAGCCCCTTGCAGGTTTGACACGCCTCTCAAGCGGGGATGTGCATCTGGGGCAGCTGGGGCCACAGGGCCGGGGCACACGAGGAATTTCTGCAAGACCGTGGTGGGCCTGGCCACCTCAGGATACTGAGAAACGATCAAGTCCAACTGAAATAATAAACAGGGTCAACATTTCAGTCATCGAATGCGCGGTTTAATAACCCAATGGCACACTTAAAAGCCACATGTTCGCGTGGGAGTGGTGACCTCTCTGAGGCAGGTTTTGTTTGTTGTTAAGACGTGGAACCTTGCCCCGACCCGTCCGAGTTAGGGAGGGCTGGGTGTGTTTCATGGGACTTTCGGAGGAATTGGAGGCCAGTTGTGAGTGGGGAGGCTGTTCAGGGTCCCTGTGGCCTTTTACGGGACACCCTGGTGAGAGTGGTTGAGAATCACTGAATAAAAAGCCCTGATGTCTGTCTTTCTTGCTAAATTGAGCACCCCAAGAGGAGAAGTCCCAAAAGGGTGACACCCCATTTGTCTTACCCATCACTGTGTCCCCAGAACCTACCATAGTACTCAGCATTTAGTAGATGCTCAGCACATATTGCTTGAATGAATTAATCTGTGTTAATTTTCTTAATGGATAAATTAATTTATAAAAAGTACACACACACGTGTGTATTTCTGTAGCTGGCTACCTGAGAATCACCTGGGGAGTGTTTTTAGAAGTTACATTCCTGGGTTCCGATCACAGAGAGTTGGGGTGCAGTCTGATGGGTCTTTGACTCTCTTATGTATGTGGGGTTCACAGACGTACGTATTAATTAAATTTGGTTATTTTCTCTTGTTAATCTGTCTCATGTAGATTCAGTTATTAAAATTAAAGAAGAACAGAACCAGCAATTCTGCTTCTAGGTATATGCCCCCCAAAACTGAAAGCAGGACTCATCCATAGCAGCAGTATTTATAATATCCAAAAGGTAGAAACAACCCATGCCCATCAACAGATGACAAGATCAACAAAATATGGTCGACCTCTACACACAACGGGATTTTATTCGGCTTTTGAAAATGGAACGAAATCTGACACCTGCTACAATGTGGATGACTTTTGAAGATGTTATGCTAGTGAGATGAGTCGGTCACAGAGGGACACACACGGTCTGACTTCACTTACATGCGGTACTCAGAGCCGTCCGATTCACAGAGGCAGAAAGTGGGGTGCTGGTCTCCAGGTGCTGGGGGCGGAGCGGATGGGGCGTCATTAGTTGGTACACGGTTCCAGTTTGGGATGATGAAAAATGTCGAGCTAGATGGAGGTGGAGGCTGCACAGCAATGTGCATGTGCTGACTGCCCCAGGACTATGGTAAAGAGGGTAAATTTCAGGTTGTGTGTATTCACCACACACACGAAAACGGTGCTTGTCCCAAGCTGGTGCAGGAATGACTAGTGTGGGAAGGGATGTGGACTTGATGATTCTAATGGCCTTTTGTGGCTTCGTCTCCTACGAGTGGCTGAGACTGGAGCACTGGCTTTGCGTCCTTCTCTCGGGGTGCACATCCTAACCCCTGCCTCAGGACGCCAGGCAGGCCCCCTGAATGGAGGCCACATGGCATGTCCGCGGGGGCAGCTGCTGCCCAGCCCCAGCCGATTCTCACCCTGTGGGATGCCTGGTTATGGGAGAGAAGTCCGCAAAATCTCCTAACGTTTAAATCCTGACAACTGGTTCAGTGAACAGGCAAACAGGTAACCCATGTGTCAGTCAAATACAACCACTCTGAGACGCCAGGTCTGGGGTGGTGTCCTTGGAGCTCGCAGGCTCCGTCCCAGCTAGAGAGGTCCCCGTTCCAGCCCCTGTCACCCGTGCCGCAGCACTTCCGAGGTCTGACTCCGAATTTCTCTTTGATCCCTGAGAATCTCCCCGCTTTCGGTGCACCCCGAGGGAGATCTGAGGGGTGAGGGCGAGTGCCCAGGGCCTGGGCTCTGCTCGTGCTGGGGTCTCGGCTCTGCCGTCAGTGAGCTGTGAGGCCGTAGACGACTTGCTTCTTTCCTCCCCCTCTGCCTCAGTTTCCTTATCTGCCGCGTGGGAATCGTGATAGTTCCATCTCGTAGAGCTAGAGCGAAGACTCCAGGAGGGGGAACGTGCGCAGTCTGGCCCAGGGCAGGGCCAGCGGAAGGCCTCTGCGGTGTGTGCGTGCGTGTGTACCTGGGTGTCAGCCCTGGCTGTGGAAAGAGCAAGTGTGGAGTCGGACAGGTCATCGGACAGGGTTACACAGCCTCAGAGGTCCGTTTCTTCATCTGTGGCATTGGCTAAGGAAGCACAGGGTCCCGCACGGATGACTGGAGGGGCTCGCCTGCTGCCGGCGGGGGGCAGGGAGCTCAGGCCTGAGCCTGCAGGAAGAACACACAGGTTGATGCCAGCAGGGGAGAGAGCGTGTGTGCCTGATGCTTGGGTGTGTCACTGACTGGACCTCGAGCCTCACACCCCGCCAGCTGTTTCCCAGCCGGGGAAGCTGGTAGACAGGCTCGCGGGGATGGGACGCAGCGCTGGAGCCTTGGACAACGCCAGCGTCCACTGACATCTTTCCCCCATCTCTGCAGGGGGCGGAGGAAAGCGCAAAGGGAAAAGCAAGAAGTGGAAGGAAATCCTGAAGTTCCCTCACATCAGCCAGTGTGAGGATCTCCGGAGGACAGTAGGTAAGCTGGCCCCGTCCCGCCTCGCCGCGAGGGGGCTCGGGGAGGGGCTGGTGGGGGAGCAGGGAGTCTGCTAACCACCAAGAGGGGAGTCCAGTACCAGTTAACTCCGTGATTCCATGTCAGGCTCCAGGCTGACGTCCTTGCTAACTGACATAAAGATGCAACCAACATTTATTCAGTATTTGATCCATACTAGGCAGAATGATCTCAGTTACCTCTTCAGGCAGGTACTATTATTTTACTCGACCTTTGAAAGTGGAAGACTGAGGTGCAGCGGGGCTCCGTGACTGGCCCAAAGTCGCACAGCTTGTGGGAGGCTGGTGGAGGGGGGCCAGGCCCAGCACTGAGCACCCCACTCGTGATGTTCCACCCTTCCTGGAGCCTGTGGATCCTGCCCTTTGCAAGCAGCTCCAGGTTTGGGGAGCCCAGGGTGGGGCGAGCATCTGGGCTCTCCGTCCTCTTGCCAGGGATGTTGTGCTCACCGAGGGGCCACCCTGCTCAGTGACACTGCCCAGTCCTCTTTTTCCAGCACCCACATGGCCAAGTACCTCCCACAGCAGAGGGGACTTGTCTCTTGAGGGACTGGCACATCCAAACGTACCTAGTGAGGTCCATCTCCTGCCCCACTCAGGACACGGCTGTGGTGAGGAGGCCAGGAGACTGGCGAGGGCTCCCAGGGGTGGGTGTGTTGGGGCTCCTCCTCATACTGAGGGGCCCTGACCCTTCTCCCCCATGTGCCCTGAGGTGGGGCATCCCCCCTCTATGTGTGTGAAGGCTTCTTACTGGATATAGAATGGCCCTGTGACCCCAAACTCTGCAGGCCCAGCTATCCTTGGGTCTTCTGTCCGTACCTTTGGGTGAACCGCGCTATGCCTGCCGTGGAATGTGAGACCACTCGCGACTATGTGGCTTTTCTAAATGGCTTCTCCATGTGGCCTGGCCTCTAGCGGTTTCCCAGGCCAGGTGGGTCCTACCTGGCGGGCCTCCTAGGCCTGCTCAGTCCTGGCCCCGAGGCCCACCCTCCAGATGCTTCGGTGGCACTGTGATAGCAGGCGACAGTCGTTCGCTCCGTGTGTCCTGTGTGCCCAGCATGGAGGAGAAGCTTGTTCCGTTGGTGTTTATGAGCTGAATGGCAGCCACTTGCGCCTCCCGGAGGCTGATGTGAGCAGCTGGGGATGGCAGGGTGCCGAAGGAGGGGGAGAGGTCCTCCAACCCACCTCCCTTCCTTAAAACCGCAGGTTGGAATCCTTCTGGCATTGTGGGGCGGAGAGGGGAGCAGGCCTGAGGGAGCGAGGCCGCTGGGTCCAGACAGACCTGGGTTCTAACTGCAGCCTTTTTGCCAGTCATTCAACAAACTGCCTAGTCTTGCAGAATTTCAGTTTCTCCAGCTGAGCAGTGGTCACGAGCTCAGTCCAGTGAGACCATGTGTGTCAAGGGCTGCTGGAGCCCCCTCGGGAGCCTGGGGCCCACTCCCCTCAGCACCCCAGCTTTCTTTTCGGAATTCCCGACAGCCCCCGCCCTGCTGAGCTGCACCCGTGCTGGGGGCTTGCGTGCCATGTTCACTTTTAATGCTGGAGGCACACAGGCAGGTGGGCCTTTGTCTTGGGGCTGGGAGAGAGCAGATGGCCATGTTACTGGCAGCTCTCAGTGGCCTTCAAAGAGGGGAGGGAAGGGAGAGCCCCCCTGGAGTTTGTTGGTTAACTCCCAGGGGCATTTTGTTCTTAATGCTAATTTAGGCTTAGATTGAGTATGAGTATGGGGCGTGAGGGGGGGGGAGTGCAGGGACCTCAGTTGCCATGGTCACCACAGACCCTAGGGAGCCAAGCTCTCTCTTTAGCCTCTTCGTCCAAGAGCAGCGAGCTCACTGGCTACCGGAATGCCTTTCCTGGAGGCGGAGCCCGGCTTTTCCTCAGCAGGCCCAAGAGGATGGCTCCCACTCAGCCTCAGGGCCAAGGGGCTGCTGACCCAAGAGACTTTTCTGAGGTGCTGATTTAGAAGAGGGAGCTTGCGGCGAGCTGTGCCACGGTGGGGTGGCTGGGCGAGGGCCGGGCTTGTCTGGGAGGGGCCTTGCCTGTGAAGCCCGCTCCTGGGAGAAGCCGTGTGCTTCTCTGCCTTTGGGTAAACTGCCCGCAGGTGACGGGGCCAAAACTGCCCTGTGAGGCACAGCCGGGCCTGATGACCACTTCCTCAGAATCCGGATGCACTCCCAGCCAGGGTCTTCGGAGCGTCCTGTCCCCTTCTGTGGGCGCATCCTCCGTAGCTATTGTCGAATGTCTGTTTGCCCCTCAAGTGTGAAAGCCTCTCTGGGAAGGACCTTTTAATTCCCGCCGTGTGCCTGGTGCCTGGTGCCTGGCTTCCAGGAGGCTCACGGCAGATGGCGGTTCGATGGATAAGAGAAGGAAAGAATGAATGGAGACGTGTGAGTGAGTGAACACTGAACTTACACAGAGTTTCGAGTAAATGGAAGAGCATCGAGAGTAATGTAAAGAGCATTCATGTAACTGCCATCAGATTAAAGAAATCTTCATGCTTTGCTATATTTCATTTATATGTTTCTTAAAAATATAAAACATGAAAATATAAACTATGAGACTTCTGGTTCTAGACAAGACGAAGGAGGCACATGGTCCCCTATCCCTCTCGCCGAGGGCAGTCAGAAGCTCCGGCTGTCCTGTATGGCACAGATGCCAGGAGGTTCTGGGGGTGGAGGGAGGGAGGCAGGCTGGCCGGGGACCTGGGGAGTGAGGAGCAACCCGCCAGTGAGCCTGGGTTTTCTTTCTCGCCTCCCTTATTTCCCAGGGACCGGGTGCTGGAGAAACTCATGACCTGGGAGAGCCACTGGGTGCAGACAAAAAAGACGCCCCCCTCCAAAAAAAAAAAAAAAGAAGCAAGCCTGTTCTCATTAGCCAAAGGCAGCAGAGCTGGACTGGGAGGCTGTTGGCACGGTGCAGCTGCCCACTCCAGAGCTGTCACACTTCCGCTGCGGTTCACACCAGCGACCTGGACACCCGCCTTTCTGCCTTTCCTCTCGCTCAACCAAGATCCAGATTCACGGGTCCGGGGTCCCCTCCTCCTCACTCCTCCTCTCTGACACACAGGTTCTGAGACTTGATTCTGATACTGAGCCCTGCTGAGGCCCGGTGCCCCCCACCGCAGAATCTCAGCACCCCTTGCCCTAGCCCCGTCCCCCACGAGGCTTCCGTGCATTGCTCCAGAAGCGCCACAAATGTCCCTCACCTTCCAGCCAGCCCGGCCCTGCCTTCTTCACTTCCGGTTTGGGGGACCGAGGAGCTTTTCTTTGTTCGTGGACCCCCTTGGCAGGGCCCACTCCCCTAGGAGGGTGTGAGACACGTGTGTGCCGGTGTGTGAAAATGAATTCTTCTGTTCTCCTAGATCCTAGAGGGCCTTGAAAAGAGTCTGTGTGCGCGTGCCGTGTGAGGGGAAGCCGGGAAAAACAGGAAGGCCGGCGTAAGCCGAGGGGCTGCAGCTCACGGCCACGGGCCCCAGCACTTGGGCCTTGCGGCCTGTTTACAGTCTGTCGCCCTGCTGTTTGCCCAGCCTCTGCTGGGGTGCTGTTGGAAGGCTTTCCTCAATAAAAATCTCATTGCTTTTCTAGACCAAGACACAAACCAAACAGTGGCAAATGCCGCATTTATTTTTCTTGCGGACACATGAGCTCACTTTCTGAAGCTCTTTGGGAGGATGTCCCGGGACAGGATTCAGCCCAAGGCGACAGGGCCTCTCTGGGCCCAGAGGACAGCGTGGGGCGGCGCGGTGAGAAGGCTCCTGATCAGAGGGAAGGGCAGAGCCCACGAGGACCCGGGGATACTGGCCCCTCTGGACCGCCCAGAACAGTGGTTGGTTAAAGCCACACCCTCTCTTGGCCTCAGCACTGCCCTGCATGACCACAGGCCATATCCTCCCAGCAGCCTGGGTGACTTGGAAAAATGAAAACTTCCCCTTGTGAATCCCCTGCAGAAGCCACGATGACAGTTCTCCATCCCATTTGGAACAAAACCCACACCCCTTACTGTGGCTGATGAGCACTGTGGCCATCGGGTGAAGCCTAGAGACTCCCTCTTCGAATAATGCTTTTAGGTATATAAAATAAAATGCATGAGGTTACAAAGGAAACCAATTATTTTCGCTTATTAGATACAGTTATTTGACACTTTAAAATGTTATGATGTTGAAGTGTATGTGCTTCCTTGTTGATACTTTAGATAATAAGGTCGAATAGCTACTGCAATTTTCGATGTGTGACGAGCGTGAGCGCTATTTCCAGATATCAGTAGTAGCAACGGCGCTAGGAATGGATCGGCGACTTCCGCTGTTGACGCATCCCAGGCACTGCTGACGTTATGTGGGTGTCGCTGACGTTTGTGGCCGAAGGAAGTGCTCATTCTCACTTAGAGGCTGGTGAAAAGAGCGGCGACACTTCCTCCATCCAAGTCCATGGGCCCCCTAAATCCTGTCCACGGTCCCCCTAGCCGTGCCCCGCCCAGCCGAGCTGGCCTGCCCTGTGTCTGATCACGAGCCACACACCCCGAGCTTGTCTCCAGTCTGGAGCTTTTGCAACTGCCATTCCCACCTCCTGGATTGCTCTTCCCCACAAATTTTCCAGGGACCTTTAGGTCTCAGCTCAGATCACCTCCTCCGTAGAGAAGCCTTCCCAGCCAGCCTCTAGACAGGAGCCATAATGTCCCTGGAATCACTGTCTTTCATACAGTGCTGTTTGTTAATGTTCTTTGCCTGTAACTCCACCTGAAGTCATCTTTTGTGTAGTTGTTGACTGTGTATCTTCTGTCCCCACCACTAGACTGGATGTCACTCGGTAATAGTGACTATGTCTTGTCTGGTTCACCAATAGGACCATGCCTGGGGCTCGTTAAATATTGGGTGAATAAAGGAATGAATGAGGAGAAATATTGGAAATTAGGGGCCTTTAAAAAAATTTGCGACATGTGCTTATCATATCCAAATTTAATCTTATCCAGTGG